ATGGCCTACAAGCATGGCGGTCATGGCTAGTAAAGGACCAAGCATGCCTCGAACGGGTACAACGTCGTGCAACAAAGCTGGCAAATGGTCTAAAACGCCAATCCCACACAGTCAGGCTGAATTGCCTTAATTTATTCCCTCTGTGTTACAGGCAGCAAAGAGGTGATCTTATCCTCGTCTACAAGGTAGTGCATGGCCTCGAGCATGGACTTAGATTTAAGGGCATGCTTCAGTGACGCCCTTCACCCTATCTTCTTAACCACTCGATAAAGCTACGGACAACAATGTCCAGGCTGAATCATCGTTCTGATTTTTTTATGCAAAGGGTAGTGGAGAAATGGAACGATTTCTCTCAGTCAGTCGTGGAGGCGACGTCTCTACAACTCTTCACGAAACACATGGATGATTATTTGTGTCCCCTGTTTTCCCTCGAGAGTCTGAATGTGAACTAAATACCCCGCGACCCCGCAAATTATTTCTCTGAGACAACTGTGATCAAATGAATCAAGTACTGTATTAATAGCAAATATTTTAATGGTTCGTGCACAATTATTTCTAACCACGTGACATTTAATCAGTAGGGTTTTCAAAGACTTTGCCTATTATCCATTCCAAATAAACTGAAATTTGACTATGGTAGGGGGCGCTCACTGATCTGTCTTACGGAATTTACTGGTTCCGTTGTGCTTTACGGGCTCTCTCTCGAGGCCAACCAGCAGCCGCATAGCGGCGCATGATATAGTCGCCCCTACCATTGTATATTCCCGATCGGAACCGACAGGGCAACGGGCTCGTGGCCCAGTGGTTAGAGGCGTGAACTTCTAACTGACAGGTCGCGAATTCGAGCTTCGGATGTTCCAAACTTCGGGGTTGGGTATGACTGGCTGACGACGGCTAATAAGCCAAAAATGGCCGTTTCAGTCTACCTTGTCATTGTTGGTAATAACATACTGATATTCGACTATTCCAGTTCGATCAGCATCTAAATTCCTCATATACCTCGGTGGTCAGAAGATTCAGTCGGACGATACCATGGTCTCCTCCGATGTGACGTCGTTATTGACATCTATCCCACCAAACTTAGTGCGCGAAGTCTTTCGCAAGAGACTTGAAGAGACGTACGACGAGAATGAGAGTGCACACACGACTGAGCACCTCATGCGTCAGCTTGAATTCTGTCTACAAACTTACGGTAATTTTGCTGGAGAGACCTATGAACAGAGCAGGGAACTCCAATGGGCGCACCGGTCTCCGGTTTAGTGGCAGAACCGGTCCTTAAGGAGTTAGAAAAGATTGTCTTCATTCAACATAAGCCGGTATTTTAATGCCGTTTCGTAGACGACACGCCTGTTATCGTAAAGAAGGACATGCTACAAAATGTCCACAACTTTAAGGGACAGGATTTTGTTTTCAGCAGTCAGTGTTGTGGGATTTGCCGGCCGTTCGGCAATGCTCTTTTCAATAAACCTGTCAAGATATCCGTTTTTGCGAAGCAGGTGCTGGATTTTTCTAAACTCCTCATCGATGCTACCTGATAAAGAGTTTTTATCGCTCCTAGTGTCAAACGCCAAACTGGCGAAGTCCGTGTATTGTTCTTCGGATGGATCCTCCTTCGGACGCTGCCATCAGGTCTCCTGTTTAGAAGAGTATCTAAGAAAAGGAGCGATCCGGCCGTTCCCATCTCCAGCGTGAATCTGATGGACGCAATTTAATCGGCTTCTCTTATCACTGTATGTTTTTGTTTCTAACCCGTTCCCATATAATTGTACTGGCATGAGAAGAATTCACCGAAAGCAACATCTGCTCGCCAACTTGCCGTCTGAATAGCGGTATCGTAATTATGGATGTCTCTTAAAAAAATTAATCTCTTCCGTGTGGTTATTAGGAGACGGCATATTGTTTCGCAACTTGAGTCCTATGCAATAAGCTTTTATTGGATAATTTTATAAAGCCTGCATCGTGACAATATAAATCTGTGTGTTGGACTACTGTCCAGTCTGAGATCTACCCCATACCTATAAAAATGTTCCTATTTTTACTGCTAAGCCTTTTTACCTGCTCGTTTTGACTTTTGCTTCAAATATTTCATTTGAGTTTTCACATCATTTTGAGACTAGATTAATCTTTAGGTGGGGTTCTATATATGAATATGCCGTCTTTTTCCCCTTTAAATACCCTCACGCTCATCCACTGTCTCCTGAATGTTTATTTTTAAAGTTTTGAAGACCTCGTGTTATCTGAGCTATCTCGAAAAAGGTTGAGCTGCCTCTTTTGAGAAAAACCAACATTACGCTCGTTCCCAGGTTCGAATGAACTGTCCAGCCCTCCAATAAAGTACGGTCGCTTTAGGCACTTTCGAAGGGAGTGGGGTGTTTGTGCTCTATCGTTTCTCGCGGTAAACGCTACGGTAATAAGAGATGTGTTCTGTGGTAATTTAACCGCAAATATTTCCTCGTGAACGCGAGAAAGATTTTCCTTAGCTTACTGCTTTTCAAGCGTCGGGGAAGAAATGAATGCAGCTCTGCTTAAAAATTATAATTGGGCGTTGGGAGATTTTGGCATTATTAAACAAATATGCTTCTTATTGGCAAAAGCTGGCACGCATTAAACTCCTTTCCTTTTATTTTGACGAACCGTGAGAATGGGACGGTTTTCAGAAAGGGCAACTGCCTTAACTAAAAGAATTTATTCGATTTCCATCTAAAGCTATCTTGCAGTCCACACCTTCGTGTTTGCTTAACTGTTTCTGACAGGTAGTGAAGAGAATAGGCGCAACATACTGGAAACTCAGAGCGGAGCGAATTATATTAAAGTGATCATGCTAAAAATTTTGGTTACACTAAAACATAAACATCGCCCGTGAAATCTACCTCCAAACCGCCCTGTATGCCGCGTATGCTGTGACCCAAAATCATTGCTAAATGTTGCGTAAAATTTCGCGAGAACGGTGTCGACAGAACCAGTCCCCATAGCAAAAGTATAATCTGCTCCTTTTCTACTGAACAACAGACTGTTGAGTATTGAATCTTTTCCATAAAACCGTATTTCATTATGATGAGAGTTCCCACTATATGGATAGAAGCCTGAGTAAGGTGTCGTTTAAAGCTACCGAATTTTTTAATAAGTTTTCACGCGTATGCTTCCTTCAAGCAAAAATGCAGGAAGAGCATACTTTTAAGCATACCATATTGGGGATAGATAGACAAAATTTGACTGGACCACTGTAGCTCAAAGGAATTACTTTGGGCACAATAACGCCGAACCTATTATTTTGGAGGTCGAAAACCAACTGCAGTCCTCTACTCAACGGACAAAAGTAACAAATATGTGAACATGAATTTGGGGAGATGCTGGTATAATTCAGTTTTGTCAAAACCTTAAACTGAGTCGGGCCATGTTATTCAGTTTGGTCCAGGTTTAGCCACAAAGTTAGTTCGCAATAAATGACTATCGCTGATTCTTTTGGGGTTAATGCTACTGAAATGAGGCGATACTCCCGACCGGGCATCCTCATCACATCGAGTGAGCATTTTATCTCCCCTTTGCTTGAACCAAACTGGCAAATGATCCATCGTCAAACACTGTCAGCTTCTGTCTCTCTCGGTTTTCCTATTCTGTTGACATTTGGATGTATTTCACAAACAAACCGCGCAAAGTGCCAATTAGGGCACACATTTTTTATTGGCACGTACGACCGCTCTAAACTGTGCACTTGAGGGAAGACGAATTTCGGTTTTAAAAATGTTTATCAGTAGGTGCCCATTCTAGAAGAATTCGGTGATTTGACTTACTGGTCGGATTTATAAATTAAACCTTGTGCAATTTTTTGAGATAAATTATCATAACGCGCCATGCTCGGATACAGATTCTCTGAAGTTCCGAAAGTTTGCCTTAATCAAGTTTTTTGGCGGCAGAAAAAGACCAGCCATTATTTACGCATCTAACCGAGCGGATCAGAAGGCATGTTCGCCTATTGACTGGGAAACGCGGTTTCAAATACTGAAACATTTATAAGACCTGTTACTGAATAGAGCTGTCTGACGACGACTGCTAAGCCAGAAATCGTCATCCCTGACTCCCTTGTTTTCGAAAATGACTTCGCCTGGCGCTTTTTCTATGCTTCAATTTTCACGAGTCTGAGCCCGGCGAACGAGCAGAATGATGTCTAGTGGAAGACAGTGTATCTGTATAGAAGAGTGTTATTTGCTGCTGAACCGCCTGAACTAAAAGCGCCTATTTTATGACGTAAACCCAGTAAAAATTTGCGAATTGTCAAAGTCTGTTACTTTTGCGTTGTGCTATCTCGTTATCTGCGACTGTCTTTGATGATAAGTCCTACTAATTATCCGAAACTTCGGGTCAATAAACTTCGTTTTAGAGTTGCGAAAACTCCCATAGCAGTAATCAGAAGACGAGGTGGCGAGCATACGTAGCTTTCGATAAATTCTCGTCAGGCCAGTACAGTTATATGAGAACGGGGTAGAAGAAAAACACGTCAGCGATAAGAAAAATCGATAAAAGTTCTACTTAAAACACGGGTGGGGTGTGGGAATGTGGGGGCGGGTGGGGTGGGTAATAGCAGTCATTGTCAGGGACGGGATGAGAGCGGAAGGGCGCGAAGTGTAGCAGCGTTAGTCGACCTCCGACCACTGTAGGCGCGGAGCCTGAACGTGGTTCTTCTGCGCGCATAAGATTGGCTTTCGTAGCCTAATGACGGCTGCTTCCGCTGTCGCTAACAGGCGCTGGCCTAGTAACTTAGGGTAGCTCGATGGAACCTTATAAATTACAAGAAAAGCTTCGTTGGGGTCCACACGATGTCCGGAATCGACAACATGCGCGAGAATGGCGCTGTCTATTCTCCTAGTTTCACCTTTTGACAGCCATGCGGGAAGGTGCTCGCGTATTCTCTTGGATAAGCGCCGACTCGTGCAACCAATATAACCTGCTCCACAGGAGCAAATGAAGGAATATATGCACATTGAGGTGGTCTGCGGTGGCAACTAATCCTTACCTTCTCCGCGTAAAATCGGGTTAGTAGAGAATGCTATTTGAACTCTTGCTGCTGGGAAGGTTCGCGAGACAGCTTGATCAAGGCGTCTCTGTAGGAGTTCACTCGCGGCGTCCCCTTGGAAAGGGACCTTGAGGAACAAAGTCTTCTTTTCGGCGGTCAGTGTGGTGGGTTTTGTGGGTCGTTCGGCAAGGTTCTTTGCAATGAAGCTGTCGGGATACCCGTTTTCGCGAAGCAAGTCCTGGATTTTTCTGAGCTCCTCCTCGATGCTATCTGTTGAGCAAATTTTTCTAGCCCTTTGCGCCAAACATCGGACTAGATTTCGTTTTTGTTGGAGGGGTACGAAACTGGCGAAGTTCGTGTATTGTCCAGACCAGGTTTTCTTCCGATAGACGCTTCTTCGGACACTCCCGTCAGGTCTCCTGCTTAGAAGAACATCTAAGAAAGGGAGCGAACCGGCCGTTTCCATCTCCAGCGTGAATTTGATCGACGGATGTGCCTGATTTGCCGCATCTAAGAGGGTTGCTACATCGGTTTCTGCAGTGGCAATGGCAAAGATATCGTCAACATAGCGACCGTAATGTTTAAGCTTATCGATCTGTTCGCTTGGTTGGAATCTCTCCAATTTTCCCATGAAGACATCGGCTAGGAGAGGTCCAAGGGGTGAGCCCATAGCAATGCCGTCTACTTGTCTATGAAGTTGGTTGTTGAACAGGAACTGCACATTTAATGTGCATCTTAATAACTTCGTTTTTCCAGCAATCACTTCTTCTTCTTCTTCTTCTTCTTCTTCTTCTTCTTCTTCTTCTTCTTCTTCTTCTTCTTCTCTTGGGCTGCCTCCCGGAATTCGCTTACTCACCTCCATCGGGCTTGCTAAATAACGTACATGTTTGCAGGACTGGTTACTTACTTTCGCTGCCCGTGTCCAAAATCATAACTATTCCGAACTGTAAATAAAGCAGCGAAGACAAGGACGATGGTGCGATATCTGAAACACTTTACACGGCCCCGTCGGTCTTTGCTGGAATCCAGCATCAGAAAACTCAACAGATAAGAGTAGTGGATGCCCAAGGTAAACGCTTGTCATGTGATCACACACCAGTCTTAATTAACAGATTTCTTACCCAGCGCCGATGTCTGTACTTGGTGTGAGGATTAATTGTTATTCCACATCTGGGTCGCAAATTGCCGTAATTTCACAACCGTTGTTGATGGTTGGCGGACTAATTACTCAGCAGTTCGATTCGGTGCTACTGTTATCGACAGCGGCGTTCACCGCGCGCTCAATAAGTTGCCAAATATTCCACCCAGGCAAATTCTCCGAACAGAATAGGCAGAAGGAAGGTCGTTATGTTATTTAATCGACTGCGGCCGGTGAACAATGGACCAAGTAGGGCGTGGGTCACGCGGCCTCTTTGCATGGGACGCAACTCACAATTTTACTCCACTGCTCTCGCACATTCCGAATCTCCGATGTGGTGCTTTTCTCACGAATTTGCCGAATCCGGTAACGGACTGCCGACGTTGGCCGCCGTGCTGGTGAGACTTACGACCTCGTTACTCAGTGCCTCTGGCCAGTTTGCAACCCAAACCCCGAACAGCCTTTCAGGGCGTTCTTAAAGTTTATGGAATCTTATTACCGAAAAAGACAATGGAGACTGGAACGGCCATTTCTGACTTATTGGCCGTCGTCAGCCAGTCTAGCGAACCCCGAGGTGTAGAACACCTGGGGCTCGAACTTGCGACCTGTTAGTTAGAAGTCAAACACCTATAACCACTGAGAAAAGGGCTCGTTTTCCTGTCGGTTTCGATCGGGAATATACAATACTGGATGGGCGCTCACCGATCGTTCTTACGGAACTCACTCCTCCCGTTGTGTCTTATGGGCTCTCCCTCTCTGTCTCTCGAGCCCAACCAGCAGCCGCACAGCGGCGGATGATAATGACACTATGTTATTACCGACAAAGACAAGGGAGACTGGAATGCCCATTTCTAGCTTATTGGCCGAGGTCAACCAGTCATAACCGACCCCGAAGTGTGGAACACTTGGGGCTCGAACTCGCGACCTGTTTGTTAGAAGTCCAACGCCTCGAACCACCCCTCTACCGTTGTATATTCCCGATCGACCTGACCTAACGTCTGTGTGTCAGTAGAACAGAAAAATAAATGCACGCATAGGTGAAATTCACAGGTGTCCTTTTGGCTAGATTTTTGACCGCGGATTCCCCATTAGATATCTCGCACATAATATATATACATATATATGTAGCTCAGATGGGGTATGCATTCCGAGTTGATATAATGAAAAGTAGAAGTGGTTCTTCGGAAAAATCGAGTTTTACTCGAGTAAAACTCGATTTTTCCGAAGAACCACTTCTACTTTTCATATATATATATATATATATATATGAGAAGAAGAGGCGATCTCGGGAACCATGAATGTATTGTCCTGACGTTTCAAAAGCAGACAAGCTTTCATCGTCGGAGGTGAGTATCGTACGGCCTCACACAGTATTTATAGGATGGGGATAGATATCAGTCATGCTAACACGGTGGTAATTATAGGGGGGGAGGAGGTGGTTAATCGGCTTTGGCGCTAATGGCCCGCATACGCACAGGGATCGTCTCTGTAGTCGCCGGGGCAGAGCGGGAGGAAGGGTGACTGCTGTCAATCTGCCTGTCACTCGTCGGAGGGCGGCATTTGAACGTTGGTGGCCATCGCCCGCATTCGCGTTGACCTTAATTGTCGTGCTGGGTTGCTAGTCTTAATTGCATCCCTCTGACCGCGTTTCTCCCCGTCTGCCGGAGTAGTAGTTGAGGCAACAGTATTGATGACTGCGCCTTCGTCGGGTCCAATTTGCGGTGTGGCTACGTTTAGGTCCGTCGTAGGCTCTCCCGTGTTTGGATTCACGTCCGGCCTGACCACCGTGTTAGCATGACTGATATCTACCCCCATCCTATAAATACTGTGTGAGGCCGTACGATACTCACCTCCGACGATGAAAGCTTGTCTGCTTTTGAAACGTCAGGACAATACAATCATGGTTCCCGAGATCGCCTCTTCTTCTCATTTATGTCCGGGGACTCGAATCTTCGCTTCTATTAGCAATATTTTCGGGCGCGAAGCGCTTGAGTCAGCACGACGTTGGGAAACCTTTACCCTTCGTGTGTCATCTGCGTACGCGCAAATTCAATTCCTCCATAGATGCCTTGACAATCATGTGCTTCCGAAGAGCCTGTCTTACAAGCCACCGGTAAACACAAGTCTGGCTAAACGATGGGTGATGCAACACGGCAGGCGAATGATCCGGGCGCTCCTTCAGGACTGCCATCTTCGACTGCGGAAATATAAAGGGGTTCTGAGCCAAGCGATCGCTAAATGCACTGATCTCATCGGCGAAGACGGAACTATGCTGTTGAAACAGACGATTGATAAACGGGCCAGAGAACTACGAGCAAAACGAGATATAGAGCTGGCAGATAAGCTTCGAAATATCAGCCGCACGTTTCAGGAGGAGAACGACGTCCTAGTCCACAATCTATCCTCCAAAGAGCTGACTCCTGAACAACTAAAAGTGCTGAGTCACGAGGCCTGCTTAAATACCACAGACGCCGATCCGGTCAACCTCGTGGCAACAGTGGAATCGATCCTCAAGCAAACCGAGGAATCCGACGAAACAAAACACCTCGTTCGGCAACAGGTAACCGCCTTGGTGATGGCCCACAAGCCACGCGCAAATA